GAGGTACAAAGTCCCCCGAGGTACAAAGTCGCGCGGAGGTCGAGGTACAAAGTCGCGCAGAGGCACAAAGTCCCCCGAGGTACAAAGTCGCGCGGAGGCCGAGGTACAAAGTCGCGCAGAGGTACAAAGTCGCGTCGAGGTACAAAGTCGCGCGGAGATACAAAGTCGCGCAGAGGTACAAAGTCGCGCCGAAGTACAAAGTCGCGCCGAAGTACAAAGTCGCGTCAACGTGTTCGAACGGGGATACCAGTCGCGCTCAGGGCAAATTCTCCCATGATTCTTTGACCCGACGGAGTTCGGTCCTTCAAGACAAGCGGACGCAATGCAACCAACGGCCAACAGTCAACCGCCGACATCAGACAAGATACGACACCCCTACCCGCTACCCAACACACCAACACGATCATCGGTCACAAACACAACGGACACTAGCATAGCATAGCATGACATTTGTCCCACGTCTCTGTAGAGCTCGTAACGCCCAAACCACGGCGAAGAGCTATAGTTCTTGACAAAAAAAGACGTATTCTAGACCGGCCCCGCCTATTCTCCAACATGCATCCTCCTCCTTGACGCGCTCACACCGTATTTCCGTTGTCGGGTAACCTGAAACCTGGTCAGAGGTTATGAGTAAGCTGTACGAAGTCGTAAGACAGAAGATTCACCAGGATGAGAGCCCGCGTACAAGCACAGAACAAGGCAGGGGCGAAGCTTGACGTCAAGCGCCTCGCTGCAGGCAGCCCGACGTGCTGACTTGACTATAGACCGATGTGAGCGGCATCCCCAAGCGGTCACGACATAAAGGACAAGACTTACCGAGCTTCCAACAACATAGCGTACGTTTCTCCATGACAATGGCCAGTCCAGCTACAAGATAGGCTTCAGCGACTGTCGAGTTCCGGCCCATTCAGGACGAGAAGGCATGGCCATGCAGGATGTCCCCAAGTACTTGACTGCACTGGGTTGAGGAGGACGGGATGTAAGGACAAAAGAGAAGGGGGAGCGCCGGAGGGGTGGTCGTTGTGGTAAGAGGCAAAAGGAACCGAGCTTGATTGCACGCTGAGCAGCATGTGATTGAGGCTTCGGGAATCTGTGCCTGGAAACCCAGACGCTAAAACCTTTAGACGCCGATTTGCCGCCCCGCACGCGTCAACGGAACAAACGCGTCGCGTCTCAATCCTAGACCTTGACTTTCGACCACCACGTCTGAAGTATACGCTGGATGCTCATAGAGAACCCTGCATCATGTATGTTCTTACTTCTGAGCCGCAGGCTGTTCTTCCCCCAATGCCCCTCGCGTTGCATAGCCCGCTAACGACGCTCTACAGATACCTTCAATGAGCGTGTGCATTACGGTACGAGTAGTACGCACATATATCCATTCAACCTTCACCGAAACTCGTTCTAGGTTGCGCCTAGATTATTTAATTTGAATACGCGAGCAGCTACTCGCGCAATGCTATCAAACCCCCGTTTAGTGAGCTCTCTCAACACCGCGACGTCGCCGACGTGTCCTCAAGACCCGCGAAACTCGAGGACAACAAGCCTCCTATTCACGGCGTCGCGTCGCGCCGCGTGACGATAGGCGCCCTTCTACATCAATCCGTGTCGCGCGAGCTCGTCACTCTTCCTCCTACCACCACCATCCCGCGCCCACTCTCGTTTCGCCCCCTGCCAGCCCTTATATCTCTTCGCGGTCATTCGATATATTCACTGTGCTTCGCCATCGCGTGCACACGCGTCGTCAAATTATACGTACAGGCGCGTATACGCATCCTAGGATCCCCGCGTCCGCGCCGTTTGCCCGCACTATATCGACTCGCGCTCAACATGACTGGAAACCATCACGGCCGCAAATCCCTCTTCAACGACCCACCCCAGCCGCGGCCTATGCGAGGAGGGAAAACAGCGTACTCGGCTAGGAGCAGTAATGAACTCGCGCAAGATTCTGCGATCGTGCTTACCCTTCACACAGAACGCGCGGTCGGAGCGATGCTCGCTGCTGAAGGTATTCACCAGGCGATCCACCCAGGCGATTTCCAGGCGGACGCCAACGTCGTTGCCGAAGGCGCTCAACTTCCGCCTGACGAAGTCGCGCAGGCCGGCGCACAGGCGGCCAACGGGCCTGCAGGAGGAGACGCGCAGGCAGCCGACGGGCTGGCAGATGGAGGCGGGCAGGCGGGAGACGCGCTTGCAGGAGGAGACGCGCAGGAGGCTGACGGACTGGCAGGTGGAGACGCGCAGGCGAACGATGTCGCTGGCGGCCAAGCAGCTCCGGCGCAAAACGTAGACAAGCGCGGAGCTTTCAAGAGGCTCAGCGGCTTCGTCAAGCAGATGACGGGCAAGGCATTCCGCGGCGGGCGGTGAGAAGGAGGAGGAGTATGGAGTAAAGGACGCAGCACGAGGGGAGGTATATGTGAGGGGTGGTATGGCGCTGGTGGTGAACAGCTTGAGAGGAGGGTTGTGCGTTTGTATCTTGACTCGACTGTTTCCTGGTTTGCGATTGCTCTCTAGCCATTAGGCGCTCTCTTGAATTACATCTGGGCCTGTCCCGTAAAAACGTTCAAATGTTTTTTTTGTTTTGTTTTCACAATCTGCGCCTCGAATGTACATAGCGAACCTACGCAGCTTACGGGACCTTAATCGGGTTTCACGCTTATCATAGACCTCATCACACTCATGCTCATGTACAACCATATTATACGTACTCTCATCATCGCATCCTTCAGCCTGTATCATACCTAATCTGTGTACATACGTAGATTACGCCATCTATATAATGATTTCTTTTCCAGAGGGTTCCAATCCTTGTGCGACACAGTGGGACACCCTATCACGCTCGCATCACTAGAACTCGCGTGACCGCGACTTGACCAGATACACCAACCCTGCAGATGGACCACTGCGTAGACGTCCACGGGACTGCTCATAGAACGCAGCCCGCTCTCGCAGTCTTCTCTGCTGTGACGGGCCACACATCCGTAACTTCAAGACGTATTGAAAATGTTCCCATGTTGGCGGTGCGCTCAGGTGAACGCGACGATTGCGACGATGTCCATGCGGCGAAGATGAAACACCGTGTAGACACCTCTTGCCTCCACCAAGTCCTGCTCCCTGGATGTTAATCCCCGCCGGCCTTCGAATCACCTACGCGTCTGCAGTCGGTATAACACATCTTCAAGCAACGGCCCTTTCGTCCTAAGAGAGGACTCTCTTGCTGCTATAGCAGCGACTGATAATTTATCGCGATGACCGAGTATGGCCGTGATGATGACAATGCAGACTGGCGCTGATTCAACCGTCGCCAGATGCCAGATACACATCGGTCGTGACGCGCTGCTAATGGGTTTCGAGCCGGTTTGGAAGCGGCTTTCGAAATAGATGGTCACATTACATGGGAATGTGGCTAGCGACAAGGCAAAATGTGTGCTTGTGTTTGATCGCACCTTCCGCAGAGGCTTTGACGCGGGTTCTGGCTCGACCACCTGCAGACGCCGCTGAGAAGCACTGCGCTTCCATCTCTCACTTGGTAACGCTTACTTCGTGCACTATCCACCGGGTTTCCAGAGCCCGCATGATCAAGGGCCTATGAATGGAGATGATTTCATCTCGCATTGGCGCTGAAATCCTCAGTCGCTCTGCCCACGTGCGCCGACAGTCTCAAGGTTCGATTACGCAGGTTTAAACAAGACTGATTCATTTCCAGCCAAGCGCACGGAAGACGAGTCGCGGTTCTTGAGTTCAGCTATACTCCCGGGTAGTCGGAAGCGGACCACTGTCGTGCAAAAGATGTTCACCAGGGTCCATCCAGACTGCTTTCAGCGTCATACGCTGTAAGTTGGCGCCGTACGTCCCTGAAAGCTCACTCAGATCTATCGCGGCGCAGACGAGCAAATGGGCTTTCCTTGCGGCCGCTTCGTCACGCCGACATCATTTCAGTACGTGATATCTGCATCAGTCGCTGTACGCCAGTCAATACGTCTGTTAAACCCGCAACGCACGTGAAAAGATCACCATGACGATGGTCATCTATACTGTCCTGTCATACGCTGCGCAAGAGCCGAGAACCAAGGTCACGCCGTCACTCTGTGTCGTGCAGTATGCGGGGCGCCTTGAGAGTATTGTGAGACTGCCCTGGACTGCGTGCGTTTCCGATACCACGAATCTGCATATGCGGGCGCATGAAGTAGCGCGACGCTCGTGCTCTGATAGTCGCGCGATCATCGGTTAGTGTTCGAAAACCTGTGCCCTCTAAGACCGCGTTCTTACATGAACGCACACCAGAGTGTTATACACGTTCATCCTGCGAGCCCAGCGACGGGTTTTGAAAAACCAACTCAGATGACGTATACTAGACAAGGCGGAGGCACTGCAGCTGTCTGCCCTGATTGAGCTGACCAGAGCCGCCATGAAGCTGGCAAAGACGGCTCACACGTTCGCCTCGAGATCAGAGAGGACGACGAAAGGAAGCGCCCGTAGAGTAGAAGCATTACGAGTGGCCATCACGTGCATGGATATCTCCAAATTTGTTCGAGCATATTGGAGAAATGTAAGGTAAGGTCGAGTACAGATGAGCAATGTCCGTCCATGGGGGCATGCGTTAGAATAGCCGACGCGCATATATGATCTGACGACATTGGTCAGGATCTCCTTTTATGACGGCGCACTCTACTACTCACCAATAGCCTGCAAACACGTCCCCCAAGAATAAGGCCTGACATTGGGATGAACGTCAGAGCACATTGCGGCGCGGACATACAAGAGACGTACGGCCTTTACCACTACTCCGTTAGCACTATCTCTGCTGAAGAAGAAGTGTTTCCATGGCGTTGGGTTCATCGCATCGCGTAGTTGAAGCGATGCTGGATCTGCAAGCCGGACGTGGACGAGTACATGTTGGTGCGGAGCAACTTCGTGCGCGCACACAATCAACCGGATTCTGCCGAATGACACGTGCTTAGGCCTAGGCTCCACCGCCAACTCCTTGCGCTCGCTTGTCCACCTTCTTTCTAGCACCGACTCTCCTGTAGAAGGTCATGAGCATCTTCTCAGACGACTGCCTATTCTGATTTCGGACTAATGCGAAGGGGCAGCAGGGTTCATAGCCACCTTATAGCGACCCAACGTTGTGACTCTCGTTCTCGTGTGATCAAAACCTGGGATTTGGAATAATCGTGCGTACCGTGCTTGATGTACGCATTCAGGACGCTCACAGATTTCACCAGCTAGTTCTGCACAAGAGTCAGCCGGTCAATGACTCAATACATGGTCTCTGTCGACCCCTCCAAGGTGCGCTTCTCCAGAACGGTTGTGGGAGTACATGACACTATATACACAGGACGGCGCGGCGGGAAATCATCCTCGAAGACTAGGCGGCTGGCACGCGTTGAGTACTCGTCGATGACCGTGCGTGCGTTTGACTGGCTACGACCCATGACTGGACAGGGCTCCAGCGCTTTCTCTCCGCTTTTTAACGATTGTCCCCCTCCCCTTGACAAACCGTCGCGTCGATATTGTCAAAGCAAGATCAAGGACATTGTTGGTTGTTCGAGAGACCCACCCACCACAAGGTTTCGAGAATCCACTACCGCCAGCATGTACGTTTCGCGGTCACTAGATATGACATACATGCGCTCACAATACCCAGCCCAGCCCAGCCGTGAATTACGTATGACGCACAAATGTCGCTTAGCGTCTTGCTCTCGCAAGTATGTGCCGCGTATAGTGGCAGTTTGAGCTCGGCACTTCCTATCCCGAGCCCAAGCCATAGCATCTCATGATGTGGTGTAATCGCGACCAGCTTGACTTCCTGCAGCTAAAGAGCACCCCCCTCCTCCACAAGATGCGTTCCTCGGACTGGTCCTCCTTTCTCACATGTACGCCGCAACATCCGCTCTTCCACAGAGATATACTTGGGCTAATGAACCTTGCGCTAACAAAGACAGGTCGACGATCCCTTCCATCTTCTATGCAGAGGTGAGTTGCAGAGCGGCTTTCATCATGGTCAAGATGCGCTGAGGCATGAACCATCTTAGCGTCTTCTCAAGAGGCTTCCTACGACGGGTATTAGCTACATACTTTGGGCATGGCTTGCTTTTGGAGCAACAGGCTATCCACATGCGGCGGAGCACTACCCGGATACAGATACATGTGGTGAAAGACCGACGCCTCTACCCTGCGTCTGTTTCAGTCCTTTCCGAAGGTGCCCATGGCGGCGCCTCTATCGCGATTGCCTGGCGATTTGCTCTCATGTTCCTCTTCCGCTGCGTCTCCTTCGTACCATATCTTTTGCCCTGCTTCACTTCTGCTACGTTTCTGACTCTTTTCGTACTCTCTCGCCGGTTCGTCACAATGGCTGGCCTTGTCGAGCTTGCGTACCCGTCCCTCTTTTGATGGCCTGGTCTTGACTTCTGATCCACTGCACTATACTGAAGGCCTACGTGTCGTTTCCATACATGATTCATCATCATCCTCACTCGTACACTGCCTCTTGTACAGCTCGGCAGCGATGGGTCCCATCTGTCTTGTCTCTAGTCTCGATATACATAACTTTCTAGACCTTGATATCGAAACAACTGAGCTCCACGCTATTCGAACTACTTGTTCATATGTTCAAACGGTACCTGACGTACTGCGCCGCATAGTCGTGTAAGGACACGATCGAAGGCGCAGGTTCACGTGGAGAGTCTCGGCAGGCAATGAGCTATGCGGCTCGCAACTGACGGCGCAATCGTTGAGATACTGTGAATCAGTGCGCTCGGAGAGGCTTTACATACTGTGCCTTTCACTCGGCGCGCAGTGATCTATGCTAGTCTAGACGCATGGCTATAGGGAAACGTCGGCCCTGAAACAATAGGGCAGTTGCAGCGCCCTCGGGTAGGCATTCAGGTGACCGGCACGGGCAATCGCAAGCTGGATCACGTCTAGCTGCCCCGAGATAGCTAGCCGTCTGCTCGTGCTCAAGTGCTACAGAGAGCATCGGGCGTACTTTGAAACACGATCTGGACCGTTGCGACGGGGAAGGCCTTCAGGTATAGCAGTACAAAAGGGTATACGACGCAACGCACCATATTCGGAAGATGCTTCGTGTGGCGCGAAGCGCGTCGACTCCGCTTCACCTCGCTACACCATGACTTCCCCGCTTCTCTCTCTGAATTTTACATGCACATGCTCGTATGAGTTATGCGCGTGCTACCGAATAAAAAAACTGGAAGGGAAGGCCTGTGCGTAGGAGGTATAAGCGGGAAGGTGTCGAAGATCTCGCCATCAATGAGCCCGGACACGAGGCTCACACCCGCTGCGCGAGGCGTCACGGCGTCGAGCCTGTTTCTCACAAGCTCAGTGGCGCGTAGACATCACCTTCAAGGCATCAGTATCGCATGACCCCTCTCCTGCAGTGCATCTATCTTGCATAAGTCCTACTTATGATCATTCTTTTGAACACAACCGCAGAAACCGTGACGGCATTGGTTGCAAGGCTTCAAACATGTATACGTCGTAAGCGGTATGTAGACCTTTGGTAGACCTGGGCCTGATCGACGAACGTCGAGACATCGAAGCGTCATCAGTCCACGACTAGCCACGTGCGACGCTCGAACTCGCCCACGCGGCCCTCCGAGCCTGGCGCTTTGCTCCCGCCAGCCATCGTCTCTGCAAACGAATTTAATCGTTTCCTCTTGGCTTCTCCATGTCGTTTATCGGTCGTTCCCGCCGCTGGCACGCGCGCGGAACTGACTCCTTCGTAACCGTTCTCCCGGGTCTCGATGCGCGCATCAACGCGCCAGAATCTGCCACGCGCGCGGCCAGCGAATCGTGCATCCTGCGTACGATATATCACTTACCCGATGTGTATAACAGTGCTATCTTGCCCTCCGAGAATCTGCGTGGAATGAGCGCCCGCCAGATACAAGACCACCTGATGTGCGATCTGTCAATCGAGGCATGGACCTCGAGTTCTGTCCCCCGTCCGGACGGATTCGCCAGCGCGCGCGGACGTGTGCGCATCCTGTCAGATGACATATATCCGCTCGTTTTCGGTGCGAAATCGTTTTCCACCTGGTGCGTCTGCTTCATCTCGTGGTGTTTCATATGTCAGATGCTTTTGTCAGGCCCGAGTCTATCGATGGCGACGCAACGACAGTGCGGACAGACACTGCTGTCGACCCGCCCTTGTCGCGCGAAGGTCTACTACTCGTATTAATCATCAGTGATGGTAAGCATAACTAAGTATATTTCTGGTTGAACTGTGGTTTACGCCCATGCCCATGGGTGAACAGAACCTCGGTATTGGCGGTGTGCACCTCGCGCCGAGGTTATGCGAGTTCAGTCTCGCTCATGATCTCCGCGTGCATGCACTTGCCGCCGATGGCATGGAGCCTCCTGTGTTAGATCAAGCTTGAAGTTGCGCGACCCGACGACAGGCGCCACTCGACGCTCTCGTTGAGCTCGGGCCTGGTGACAACAGCGTGGGCCGCACTCTCCAGCATCTTCCATCCTCAAGGGCACTGGCATTAGCCGCGACGTACTGCCGTGTGACCGAGAACTAGGTCACACCTGTACCGTACTTCCGTGGCTCCATCGTACCAAACGTCGCCGTCGTCTGCCGCCTTTTACAGCATCATGTTCATCCCGTGCAGCTCGGTGTACATCGTGCGTGTGCCGTTGCTCAGTGCATGTGCACCGGGTTTTTGGGCCGGGGTCATTATGCAGTATATTCCGCTCGATCCCGATACGGCCCAGGCGCCTTCACTCGCGCGTCGCACTAAGTTATGCACTCGCCTTTCGTTCCACATATACTGACACGATTAGTATAGGGAATATCTATGCAGCCGCTGCTGGACGTTGTGTAGGTCTAGCTGAAGGGTGATGCCCATAATGAGGCCATCATCCTGAACCGCTAGAGCGGCGGTGTGCGTGCCTGCACGACCCGCGTTGAAGTGGCACCTTGATGGCGGCCGTTGCGGCTGAGCGCAACTGCGACGTGGAGACTATCTCGGTGGGCATCAGGCTCTGGAATCTTGGTAGATGCCCCGTTCCTCATTTGCGAACTGCGTACTACCTGCTGGGATAAACCATTTCGGTCAATGTCCCCAGCTACGCAGTTATCTGTTGTAGTGCTATGTGGACATCGTTGCTTCGATTATAGTTGCGCATTTATGTAAATTCAAATCTACATAGGTTTCTTCCCCTGTGGTTTCATATGTCTCTCTATTGATCAAGTTTGGAATCGCTGAGCTGGTTGTGCTGCATGAGCTCTACGACTGTGATCGAGGGTGTACCCCAGGAAGACGCATTTTAGCGCGTCTGTCACTCGGCGTGTCTAGTCACGTTGAACGTGACAGCCAGCTTTGTTGACTCAAGGTCGAACCTTGTTCAACTCAACCTGCGACGAGCATCCCCCAAGAGGCCGCCTACGGATGGGCCACCCGGTAGGCGCGGGCTCGCTATGTTTTTGACAACTCACTCACAGATAATTCCAGAACATGTCTAACGGCTGCTCCTCATACCAGTGTGTCATCAGCCTTTCCGCATTAAGACGAGTACGACTAACACGCCCCTCCAGCAATACTTGCACAGTCGGGGTGACATCTCTATGAACTCCGACGCCCCTCCTGTGTCTCGCAATTGAACAAGAAACGCGCGGAGAAGGGCAAGCGCGCGCTCGAGCTCCTCGGCCGCACGGACTGCTTCATCATCTCTGGATCCCATGTTCTGGAGGGTGTTGGTCGATATACATCGTCGTCGCCGTCGGAACTAGGAGCTTTAACGGTCGCATTATGATGGGTGAGTGGCGCTTTACCGCGCGCTCAATATATATCATCTTCTTGTGACGGCGTCTAATCTTACCCTCGACAGCTCTGCGCGGCGATGCGGAGGCTACTCCCTTACAAGGCAAACTCAACCGACTCGCTGATCTTATCGCATGGGCGGGTATGATCGCCGGTTTGGTCCTATTCGTCGGCCTTATGATCCGGTTCTTCGTCCAATTGGGCACTGGCGAACCTGCGATGACCGTACGCTTTTGAATTATTCAACGCACTCATGGTAATTGTTAATCCTCTCTCATTATAGCCGGCCCAGAGAGGAATTTCGTTTGTCAACATTCTTATCATTGCAGTCACCTTGGTCGTCGTCGCTGTACCCGAAGGTCTTCCTCTGGCAGTAACAATCGCGCTTGCGTTCGCGACGAAACGCATGACGAAAGAACGTCTGCTCGTGCGCGTTCTTGGATCTTGCGAGACAATGGCGAATGCGACGTAAGTTTCTATCGCCGTCTTCTAAATATTGTATGCTAACATTGATCCATCAGCGTCGTATGCACGGACAAGACTGGAACGCTTACCCAGAACGAGATGACAGTCGTCGCCGGCTCGGTTGGCATCGCGTCGAAGTTCGTACGCGACCTTGCAAATAACGGCGGACGCGCGGAGACAGACGCTGGATCGAGCCCTGGCTCACCTTCGACCGAGGCTCAACGTTCAAGGCGTTTCGCACAGGATTTCCCGCTTGAGCTCTCCGATCTCGACCAGGTTCTTAGCCCTGCACTACGCACGGCTTTCAACGAGTCTATCGCGTGCAACAGTACCGCATTCGAGGACACAGACCCGGAGAGCGGTGCGCGTATCTTCGTTGGCTCTAAGACGGAGACGGCTCTGTTGAAGATGGCCGTCGACTTGAAGTGGAACAACTACCGTACCACGAGGGAAGGCAAGGAGCAGCTTCAAGTCGTACCCTTCAGCTCGGAACGCAAGGCTATGGGCGTCGTCGTCCGCCATGGCAAAGGAGCACGGTTCTACCCCAAGGGCGCTAGCGAGATCTTGGTGGACAAGTGCCGGAGCCATGTGGTCGTTCACAAGCCTGGAGAGAGCAAAGGTGGCAACGAGGATGAGATCGAGACGGCTGGATTCAACGACGATGATAAGGAGAACGTTTCGAGGACTATCACTTTCTACGCTGGCCAATCACTCCGGACTATCGCGATCTGCTACAGGGACTTCGAACACTGGCCACCCACCGATGCAGCTGTCGGTGAGGACGGCGAGGTAAGCTATCTAGTCGTCACATCATGTGCGCGTGAGACTGATTGTTATTTAAACAGATCCCCTACGACACCCTTGCTCGTGACCTTTGCCTCATCTCCATCACCGGTATCGAGGATCCCCTCCGTCAGGGCGTCCGCGGAGCCGTCGCGGATTGTACTCGTGCCGGCGTCCAGATCAAGATGTGTACCGGCGACAACGTCCTTACGGCCCGAAGTATCGCGCGTCAGTGCGGTATCTACTCGCCCGGTGGTATCGTCATGGAAGGCCCTGTATTCCGCTCCCTCCCGCCGCACGTTCAGGAGCAGGTCGTTCCTCGTCTTCAGGTGCTCGCTTGCTCCAGTCCCGAGGATAAGCGCGTTCTCGTCGACACGCTCAAGCGCCTTGGCGAGGTCGTTGGTGTTACAGGCGACGGTACAAATGATGGTCCCGCGCTGAAGACGGCCGACGTCGGATTCAGCATGGGCATCGCCGGCACGGAGGTCGCGAAGGAAGCCAGTGACATCATTCTCATGGACGGTAACTTCGCCAGCATCGTCAAGGCTGGCATCGTGTGGGGACGTGCGGATAACGACGCTGTCCGCAAGTT